ACAGGCAACCAAACAGTCTCAAAGTATTTAGAATACACTACATTTACTTTACACTGCATTTACTTTACACAGCATTTTCTTTTCAGGCAACCAAACAGCCCCTTAATTCAAGTAGTCAATTTATTAGAAAGTTGAGATTATATTATCAGAAGTTAAGGTCTTATGATTTTGAGTTTGCCCCGGATCCTAAGTCTAAATTAGACACTGAACAAAAATAGCCCAAATCTAGCTAATGCAATGCAAAACCTGGACTTACCCTGACATGGATTAGGGAGCCAGCTAACCATCTAGGCACTTTAAAACCATGTGTCCGATCTCTTTTATGAAAGAGTGGTAGGATGTTAATTAATTTTTAAGGAGTTGATGCCAACATCTAAAGAGGATCCTAAGTGGCCCCTTGACTTAATGTAGGGTAATTATGCTTAAGAAAAATACAATTAGAATTTTAGACGTGTTTAAACTCGTTTCTAATGAATGCATACTAATCGACTCGAAAAATACATAAAATAAATATGAAGCAATTTTAAAAAAGCTTAAAAATAATTTTATTTAAAAGATTACACAACATCCCCTTAATAAAACTGCACCATAATAGGCCAAGTGGTCTACAAAATCCAGCAAGCGGGGAGGTGCCTAACACGGAAGGGAAGATTTTAATTTACTTATGTAGACTCTCGGCGATCACAAGCCTACTTCTTAAGTCGTTAGAATTACTATGTGAGCTTGAACATTTTGAATTAATTTGAGTAGAAAAGGTTTTATGCATACTCTCACGAGCCTCCAAATATATTCAGGCTAAAACAAAACACGACATGCAAGAAAAAAAAAACTTAGAAAAAGCAAGCAAGTTCTACTACGCAATCAATGTAAACAATCCAATCAAATCAATTAAATAAATTAAAATGTCCATGTGGCAAGTGTCACTTAATTTACAAGTGGCTAGGTAACATTGACAACAACTCGAATTTTAATCCTAGGTCTAACGTAAGTGAGACAAAGAGAAATCAATTTCATAGGTATGATGCTTAACAAATGAGAACTGAATGATTTCTTTAACCCTTGTCACAAGAAAGGGAAAGAGACACCAAAATATTGAGAACATTTCCACTTTACCCATAAAAACTAAGCTCTCACTCATTCATTTGGATTGAAAGGATAAATCAAGAAGTAACCACTCAAGAATATCACAAAAACCTTTAGAGAACAAATACTAAGACTCACGGATGAAAGAAGTAAAACCACATACCAGTCTCTTGAACTCACCAATGCAACAACACTTTAAATACACTAAGAACTCATCTTAATCAAATTTCAGCATTAGGCAATATTACCACAATAAATTATCAATCAAAACATTAACTATTGCCAAACTCTCTTAAAAACGTACAATCAAGACTTATTAGAAAATAAGAGTATAAGTCACCATTCATCACGAATATCTCAAATGACAAGTGATTCATTCAATATAAAAGGAGTAAAACTGATGTAGAACGAGTAGGAGGCTCTGCTAGGGAGAGGATCCTTTGCAGGAATTTTCAGAGCAGCAGCAGTTTTGAAGCGCCAAGTTGCTGGGAAACAATAAACGTTGCTGGAATTCTATGGTTGAAGTCTTAGAAGGCAGAATACTCAATGTCCAAAGGAGTTTGGGAAGAGATCTGTGGAGGGGAGTAAAGTATACGGGCCAGGGAAAGTTTTGGCCAGCAGGAAATTATGGTGGAGATTAATTCCCAAAGTAACAGGAGGCGTTTTGGAAAGATCTAAGAGGTGGGAAAGATTTTAGAGGAATTCCAGCAATGGGCCAGGCCGTATGTGGTGTTGGGAGGATCATGAATTTATTTCCTAATCCTGAAATCAGGTTTTAGGAAATAAATTGGCTAGGAGCTCATGTAAATTCCGGTTCCTGAAATTGGGAAATCTTTCCAAAAATAAAGGGTAGGGAGTTAATTCCTGTTGTTAATCTCCTTAGATTAGAAAATTAATTAGTAGAGCAAGGCAAGGGAATTATTAAGGAAGGAAATCAAGAGGTGGGGCATGAGGGGGGTTTCGGCCAAGCAAGAACCAAGGAGCAATTAATGTGGAGATTTAAGGCTCATTAATTTGAATTTAAAAATTTTCAAAATCTAAATTTAATTTCAATTTTGATTGAAATTGGGGGGAGCTTAATTTGAAAATTGATTTTAAATTAAGAGGCCATCAATGCTTTAATTGGGGCATTAATGGGAGGAAACTCACATGGTGGCCGGCGGCATGTAGAGAGAGAGGGAGGGGATTTGGGAAATGTTTGGGGAGCTTCCAAAGAAGAAAAATGTATTATGAAGGTTATAACTAGATCCAAACTTCTTTGAATTTAAATTTGAATCATGCATAACACTTTCCTAAATAAGAATTTCCAAATTTGGAAAGAATTGAAATTCAAAATTTGAATTTCGAATTTGAATCAATCCTTTCTAATTTCTCGTAGGGTGAATTATGAAAATCCATGAAGATATTGAGATTACCGTCATGGGGGAAAAAGATGGGATTTCGGGTGAGGCTAGAAATCCGGCGGCCAAACGGAGATGGGGGGAGGAAGAAGATGAAGATAACGACGAAGAGCAATAAGAAGGAACAAAAGCAAATAAACAAAATATCAAAGATACAACCGCGAGCCCGGACACATCCTGCGGCTGATGGGTATTACGTTGCCCTTCTCTAAGGGACTTCACGCCACGAGCCCAGACCCATCCTACAGCTGGTGGAAACTCCGACTCCCTCCCATAGGGATTTCACTAACGTTCTTCCCAAAGAACCCAAGTGCAAAACGCAAATTTTTTTATTAATCCATCTTCTTCTTCATGTTCTTCCTTGATCACCGTAGGTTCCTCTTTGATTTGCACAGTGATTGGGAGATTGAAAACTTCATTAGCCTCCATCCATTTGTCCACTCTATCCCTTATCTCTCTGTCTCTTAGTGCCCTTTTTCTATCCTTTGATGAAGGGGATCTTGAAGAGGTGTAGAGCGATGGGTCCGTCCTACCTTGCTCTAGGTTATCGAACCGTTTGATTGTTTGACGGTGGAGGTCGGCTAAGTCCGCTTGAGTCTCCTTGAGATGTTGACTAATGGCAGCCACTTGACCTACCATCCAGTCTAGAGTTCTTCCAAGTCGATCCGAGTCCATGCTCTGATACCAAACTGATGTAGAACAAAAAAAAAAAAAAACAAAGGGTTTGCTAGGGAGAGGTTCCAAAATCCAGAAAATGTTTCAGATTTTGGAACCAAAATCTGAGCCAAAAATTCTTAGAAAACCTTCAGTTTTCTATGCTTAGTAGCAAAGAAAATTGGAAGGGGAATTCAAGCATTTGTTTAGCAAGAGGTGAACGTGAGATACCTCTTCCAGATCAGCAATTCCCACGGGACAGCATTGAAGATTTTTAGCCAGCAAAGGAAATTCGAGACAGGATTTAATTCCCCAAGACAGAGGCTGATTTTTGGTAGGATTTGAACGGTGCAGGCCAGAGAAGAAATTCGGCCAGCTAGACGGGAAAGGCAAGGAAAGGGGGGCAACGGCTTGATGAGGTGGAGGGGATTTAATGAGCAAATCAGGATTCCTGATTTATGGTTTTAGATTTAGGAAAGATTTAATTAAATCCTCTTGAATTTAAAATTCAAAATAGATCTAAATTAAATACTTTCCTAAAATAGATGAGCTCATTTAGAAAACCTCTCCAAGGGATCTCAAATCACGAGCCCAGACCCATCCTGCGGCTGGTGAAGATTTCGATTCCTCCCATAGGAATCTCACAAACGCTCTCTCACAAGAAGAGCACAAGTGTGGAAAAACACAAAAATTTCATATTCATTAACAATCTCTTACAATAGCTTAAGACCCTTATTTATAGGCCATGACATGAGAAAAAATAGAAAATTACAAAAATGCCCCTTGGGCCAAAACACTCACATAAACTATCCTAGGGGTAAAATAGGAAATACATAAAACAAGAGCTAAAATTCAGAAAATAATACATAAATGAAAATTTAAATAATGGTCGTCGATTTACGACGCCGCCTGTGATAGATGCCCCAAATCTTTGTATTAATGTCCGCATCAAAAACAAGACAACAACAACTCTAGCCATGTCACCTAATAAGCTTTGGATTTTTTTGAGAAATCTTCATTTTCTTGCTCTCTTTATGTACTGCTCAAGATTTAATTAAGATTTGGAGTAAAGCAATACAAGAATCCTTTAATCTTTCAACAAATGGATAAAAGAAAATAACTCAAAAATTCCTTTGAATACACGTTTTTCAAAAAAGAAGCTCGAGAATGACAGCTTGCAAATTTCTTAAGGAAGAGAATCTATAATCTGCTCTAATTCTAAAAAAGGCAATAACCACTAGTTCTCTCAGATTTTTTTTAATATGAAAGTTCGGTCTCAATTCATATAAGACTAAGCCATGAGACTTATTTACACTCCAAGGAATTCTTATTTCAGATTTCTGATATACATTTCTAAATCGGACATCATATAAGCCAAAGTAAATCATAGAAATTTCATTCATATCAACAATATAAACTTAATCCGAGCATGTCTCCTCTCTTTGCTTTATTCATTTAGATTTTAAGGAGAAAAAAATAAGGGGTTAGAACATGTCCATTTGGAAAACAAAGCAAGACAAGGTGCAGAGCAGTATATTAGCAAAATAATCATAGGTTAAAAAAAAAATAATGACCAACACTAATCATTACTAAAATTCTATTAAATCTCGTGTAAAATAAACAAACACAGCTGTCAATACAATACATTTGATGCTTGTCGAATCAATTCCATGTAAGAAACTTAAAGAACAGGAAGTAAGAGAACAGAGCAATGCAAGATTAATGAGTTATATCTGTAATAAAATTAGCAAAAATGCTTTGCCATCAAATTCATATGCTTTACATACAGCTACTCAACTCGAACCTTCTCCAAAATAAAATACTATTTAGAAAGGCATATGAGTGTAACCACACAGCTTTTACCTCAAGAATAGCAGCTAACTCAAGAAACTTTGATCAAGATTCACCTTAGCAAACACTATAACAGAAAATTGCAGCTTCCTTCTCCTCGATCTTCTTCAATAGATTAAGTGGAGAAGCATATTCGTTGATCTCCAGGTCGATGACTGCTCTACCTGATTGGTAAACTCCAAACCCTTTTGATCCTGTCAGTTTTCTGAAAATTTCTTTGAGAGGATTGATTGGCTGATGTTCTTTTGAGACAAAAAAAAAGGCAGCTGCTCTTGCTTGGCCGAATGGAGGAAGTATGAATAAGAGCTGCGGCCTTCACGCCTTTAGCAACTAGCAGATCATCAAGCAGCACACCACCGAAAGCCCATCCAAATACATGAAGCCAGTAGTTACTGCTGCAGCCACCTTCTTGTGAGATTCAACAGCAACTCACCTTGCTCTTGCCTTTGCATGGTTCGGGCTAGGAGCCTAAGAGAGCTCTCGCGCATGGGCTGCTTGTCGAAAATGGGATCGTGGAATGATTTTTTAGGCGTGCCCTAATTCCCCCTTCAAATCTCGGCATATACGAATAGTTAAATGACCATCTAGCCCTCCATTTCCAATTTAATGGTTGACATTAAGTGCTTGATTTTGAGATATTAGAGGGCTGAAATTTATTTGAATTTTAAGAGATATTTGAGTATCAAATTGGAATAAAATGATGATAAAACATTGAAATTTTGTTAGAGTTATATTTAAAATTAATTATTCAAAATCGATTAAAAATAATTGATGTCAATTAGATTTAGATTAAGCCAAGACATATTAAATCGAGTCAATTAAAGCTGTTGAGGATAAAATTTCATCAGAATTTATTCAAATTAACTCGAAGATGTTTGATTAAATTTATTTGATGAAAATTAAATGGGTTTTTATTAATTTAGGTCTCACTTGACTCAAAATAACAATCGATTGACTCAATTTCATAATCAACGACAACGACGAGAGGAATTGGGCTAAAATTCGATCGAATAGAACTAGGTATCCTCAAATACAATGTGTGCAATTGAATCAACCTCAATTAATCTATATGCAGTTCAATGTTGATTTTAAGGAAGATGGACGAGGTCGATTACGAGCTAGATTGATTGACTTGCCAATGATTGATTGATTGGAGATTTGAGGCTTAAGGTTGAATTGATCATGATGACCTCATACAAAAATGAGGTCAACAACTTTACAGGGTGTAGAGTATAAAAGAAAACCACTTTCGACACTTGTCAATTTATAAAGCAAACCTTAGTTTCTTAGTCCAGTATAAAATAGAATTATGTGGCGCTATCCATCACTAAAGCAAAATATATAACTGTCGGAAGTTATGTTATTCAGGTCTTATGGCTAAAGCAATAAATCCTTGACCTTGAACTTTTTTGTAGGCACTATCCCTATCATGTGTGATAACACTAGTGCTATCTACATTTTAAAGAATCCAATTCAACATTCATGCACAAAGCATACTAAAATTTGAAATCATTTTATTATGGATCATGTAGCAAAGGTAGATAGTAAAATTGCATCATGTAGCTACTGAAAATCATTTGTCATACATCTTTACAAAACCCCTTGCTTATGAAACCATTGACACACTCAAGACTAGACTAGGTGTGATTGATATTAATGATATAATTAAAATTAGTGTGTTTATTTAATTGTTTATGTTATATATTTATATTTATGATTGTTTGCATCTATTTATTTATATTTTTTATGTAGTTATGTTTTTAATTATTTGTGAAATTTCCTCGTAGGTTTTTCCCTTATCATCACACAAAAATTAATATTTACTCATATCATATTGTACGATGTACTTTGTATTGTATGATCTTAATAGATCATCATATCATCACTACACAACACACCCAACGATCATGATTAAATAAATTATTGGTGGTCGTACTATACAAATGAATAATTTGTGTTGTACGATACATGTGGCATGGACCATTGGACGAATTAATTTGGCATGTATAATATTTATTTAACTATTATACTATATAAAAATATATTTGTATTGTACAATTTGATTGTTATGTCAGGATGAATTGAATTCTTCTAATCGTACTATATGATTTTGATAGTACTATATGATCTACATCATACTATACGATCTACTAAGAATTATATAATAAAGGGCAATTCTAAGGCTTTGAACCTCATAGTTCCAATTCCTATCCTCATTGCCTTCAGTTACTATCCATAGTAATCCAAATGTCTGGGGAAAGTGTTCTAGAGCTCTAGCAACAAGTTCCTCCCAATAAACTATCGACAACTGATTCCTTGATACAACATATAAGGAAACCTATCATCAATATAAAGATACAACCATCATCCCCTCTAGAGTCCTAAATTAAGAAATCTTAAACATTAAAGTGTTAGACCTTTCACGAATGATATGCTTCAATTTCTCCTCACCTTAGCCTTTCCCTTCATTTTTGAGCTACTTTTTGAATTTTTTTGAAAAGTTTAAAAGTTAACACTGAGGGCATAACACTTCAATCCTATGTTTATAAACACCCTTTAGTTTTAAATGCATGCATCATTCAGCATATCCTTAGAACATAATTATTCCTAAATTAGGTTATAGGGTCAACATTACTCCTCTTCTATCTACCATTACCTAATGTGTTATGAATGGCACAAAATTTAATGCAATTGACCTCATTATCCATTACTTTATAACTCTCATTAACATTAGGGAACCTATGGTCAACTGTAGGCAAAATCTAGCATTAGGATATATTATAGCCTATGTTAAATACGGCTTGGCATACCCTACACCACTCGATCACCTCTAAGTTTGCTACTCCAACACTCCTTCCACATACTTTATAGTGTCAGATGCTATGAGGCACATTATGCATGGGAGATTTAACCGTTTAGAGATGTGCCTGGATACATATATCCAACAATAGTAGCAACATCATGAAGCTGATATGGCATGGTATTGAGAGCAGTTTGCATCACTTCACTGATACTTCTAGCCACCTCCACCAGCACCTGATTAAGGGCCTTTATTTGGATAGTGTTTGATGTATTTTATTTTATTTTTCTTTTCTAAATTATGCTGTCATGTTAATTTATATTAGTGTCCATTCTAAAGATATCCTTTTTGGTGATATTAAAAGGGGGATTAGATTATATTTGGTTTGTGTTAGTTATTTTTATCATTAATATAGTTTGTGTTTGATTTTAGTATTATTTAATAAAAAATAGCCTAAGTTTTTAAAGATATCACTTAGTAAGGGGGAGAACTTCGGAGAAAAAATAATTAACTTAAAATTCAACCAATAATTTTCATCATCATCAAAAAGGGGGGTTACTACAATCTAAGAACCCAAACTTATGTTTTGATGATTCTAAATATTATTGAAGTTTACTTAGTTTGTCCTTTTTATTATTGCATATCTTTTTTGTGTATACTAATATTTTAGGTACAACATACACCAAGCACCGCCAAAAGATTAGGGCTCAAGATTGGATAGTATAAGATTGAATTTTGCAAGAGTCTATTTTTTGCCCTTTTTGAGTCAATAAATTATAAATGATGTGCGTTAGCATAACAACCGTGTACACACACATAGGAGAGAGTGAAATGTAAGGTTTTATTTTTTTTCTCTAAAGTTCATACTAGATGATATGTATCATATTGTACAATATGTTATTATAAATTTAATTAAAATATTTAATTTAAGAAAATTAAAATTAAGATGAACTAATCATACTACACTATTTAAATTGTACATGATGATGAGCTTATAATCAGAAATCCCCATAGCTATTTACTATTAGGCAATATTTTAAAATTTGAATTTTGGTGTAATCACCTAGTATGATTCTAATCATACCTTAAGATTTAATTAAAATCTTACCTAAATTAATCTTTATGATTAAGCAATCAAAACTAAATTAATTATAATTAGTGATCATACCATATGAAGTTATCATTTGTACTGAACAAAAACCAGGATGATAATTAATCACCAAGGGTTCATTTAGGATGAACTATTATTTTATTGAACTAATTGTGTCGTACGACCCTACAATCATACTAGATGATCAATTGATACTTTTGAGCTCTTCATACGAAGAGACATTCATCGTATAGTACTAAAGGAAGAATTGAAGTAATTGTATTGTACAATATTAAGATCAAACTGTACAAATAAAGATGGTTGTATTAAAAATTAGGATTTTTTGAAATCTCATTATTTAAGCATCTCTTGATGCATTTTGAAGAGTCTTTGGTAGTCAAGGGGCATGAGTCTATTGTAAGAGAGAGTTTAAAAGGTGAGCTTTGGGCTTGGATGAGAAAGGTGTGTTGTGAGATAGGGAGAATATCCTTGTGGGATCAAGGGAGTGTGAGAGAGAGAATCTACACATGGTTACTCCATCCAACAAACATCTTCTTCCTCCATGTGTCAAAGCTTTTCTTGGGGGAAACTTCGGGAAGAATTTCTTGGAGTTAAAGGGTCAATGACAACTCTACCGCACTGTTAGTGAAAGAAATTCAGCTACTCCTTTGCATTTGGTGATAGGGATTTGGCAACTCCACCACAACATTAATTAAAGGGATTCAACTACTCCATTGCACCAAGTTGGTGGAAGAGATTTTTGTAAGGGCTTCTTCACCTTTCTGTGGGAGTAAAAAAGGAGGCACTAAAAGGTTTAGTGTAATACCTAGAAAGGAGGATTATGGGGAATGGACGTAGGCCAAGTTTGATCAAACTACTATAAATTTGTGTGTTTGCTCTTATTTTTTGGTTCTTTAATTTACTATATTTTATTTTCTTGCACATTTTTCTTTATTGCAAATTTGAGTTAAAAATTGATGTTGTTGTGGTACATGGATATTGAAATTATTTTGGAATTTACTTCTGTTATAAAGGAAAATAAAATTAAAATCTAAAAATAAAAAGAAGAAAAATATTTTCCATTTATTTTCTACAAAATCAAAACAAAAAATTAGTATTTGATTTTTCTTATTATTCTCTTCTGCTTGAGAAAAAAATATTCTAAGGTTATATTGGGTAATTTGGTTTAAGTTTTTCAAAGTAGTGATTTTTGAAAAAGAAATTTTTTTAAAACCCCATTGGTGTGCCATTATAGTTCAAGTAGTCTAACAACCAGAAATTATACTTTCAATAAGCCTTTTATTCTAGCTCTAAGGGTAAGTTGTAAGATTTTCCAAAGATTAACATATAAGAAGACATTCCAGTTGGGGTTGCATTAATATAAACCCAAAGTGCATGATCTAATATTAATTCTCATTGTTTCGAATTAGACTTGGAGTCTTTTCTAATATCCTCTTTATCTCCCTATTATTAATCTCAACCTGTCCACTAATTTTGGAATTATAACAGTTACTACTCTATATTTAATTAAAATTTTCACTCCCCTATTACAAAAACGACCCCCTCCATTACTAATGATGACTCTAAGTACTAAAAATCTTGATATTATATTTTTCCTTACAATTTTCATCACTACATGATCATAAACTTTTGTT